CATTATCGTGCCACCTCTTGCCCCAATGCCACTTCCCTCCTCAGGGAATCTACTGAAGTTTGCAGCTTGTGTTCTCGCGCTGCCATTCCTTGGGTCTCCTCTGTAGACCTTTTTAAGACTGAGCAGCATCCAACCCACAGTTCCGCTGCCTCACGGGCACTCTCCTTCTCAAAGGATCTGCTTACTATATCAAGAGCCACCCCTACTACCTCAGGTGATATGTCCACTTGCCTCCAGTCCTGGGATGGGGCCCAGTTCTCTAGGAGGCCAGCCACCGCAGACCAAATACCCAGTGGGGGATGATCCACTGTCTCCCCATTCACAGGGGCAGCCTGCTGAAGTACCCCTCCCATATGGGCAGCCTGTCTTTTCCCTTGGTCAACCCTGCCGACTTCCACCAATTGTCTTGCCAATGGGTTTCAGTCCCGGGCAAGTTTGCTATGGATTCAGTGTAACCAAAGGAATTGACAGCAAAACGTTCTTGGGTGAAAGGGTTTATTACCTGGCTTGTTCTCTGGCAGTAGGTCGAGCACTAGCGTCTCTCCCTCCATGCAGAGCACTGGGCCGAGCTCTCTATATAGCAACAGTAGCTTATTGCCCACAGGTGTGGAAGCGGCATCCCAGCAACAGGCCAATTACATCATCAGGTTGTTCAAGTTCAGTGAGGATCCTGGCCATAGGAGCCCCAACCTCCCCACAATTAGTAAGGGCCCCAAATTTATCCCCTATAGACACACTAACCCAGAGCAGTTTTCCCTGGGTGGCCTTTGTCCTTGTCTGTCATTGGGTTCTCCTCGAAACTGACCCTGAGACAAGGATTACAGTGTATGCAGTTTATTTGGGAAACACAAGCAATGTCAGTAGGCAAAAGGGGAGGTGAGACAGGGAAGGAAAGGTAGCTGGACAGCTCCCACATTAAGCCAGCTCCCACAGTCAGCACCTGGAGCTTAATTCCACAAGGAAACTGGCAAATGGTTCAGAACCTTTGGGATCTGCACATGTGGGCTCCGAGCATCACTGATCGAAAAGAATCAGGTGGCAGGGAGTTAACTATGTGGTCCTATGGGCAGAGCAGCTACCCTAGGTTCTCAGGAGCCTTAGGCACAGAGACAGGAATACAGGAGCTTAGGGGCACCCAGACAGATCCTAGGGATATGTGTGGAGCATTGCCAGCATCTGCCTCATCCTCCTACATTCAAGTGCCGAGCCTGGAGCTTTCATGTCAGGTCATTCAGGGAGGGTCCTCAGTTGAAAGAGTCACCTGGTTGTGGTTCTCCTTTGCCTGAGATCCTTGAGTGCTTGCTTAGCCTTTTCAGGATAGAGCCTGAACACATACACACGTTCTCTGTCTCAGACAGATACACAGATGTGTGCATTTTCTCTCCCCTACCTGTCCCCCTCCACCTTCTGCTTCTACACCCATCTCTTCCTCCAACTCTCTCCACTCCCTGCTCCTGTCTCACTCTCTCCCCACCCCCAGCTCTGCTGCCTCTCTCTCCTTGGTAGCCCTGTCTCTTGCCTTGTATCTCTTCTACCCCCGTGTCGTCCCAGGGTCCTGCTACATCTCTCTCTCTCCCACACATGTGCACACTTTTACCCACATTCAATCACACACATGGCACCCATGGCATTTTAAACATTAACAATTTGTATTTCCTTGAAGGCATGATGTTAACTCCTGTTGTCTTCAACTAGAAGGCCTCTCCCTCTCTGTCCTACCTTGGGTCTGTGTCATAATTATTTCAGTAAGCACTTCCTTCATGGTATTATAATTGTTCACATGTCTGTTTTCCCACCTCACTGTGAGCTCCTTGTCTTATTATTTTAATGCTGTCAACATCTGACCCAGAATGTGTCAAATACTAAGCCCTCGGTAAGTATTAAAACCCTCCTGCCCTACAATTGACTGTAAGCACTCAGTAAGCATTGAGACTCCCCTCTTGATTGAAAATTAATTCTTCCATATTTTTTGTCTTGTTCTCTTATGGACTGTGAACAACTATATGAGAACTAATGTGGTATTGCTTGTATCCTGTGTTATACCTTCCCAGGAGCATTTGCGTTAAATAGCAGAGGCATTCTGAAGCTATAATGTCATTACTTAAAGGTGTGATTCTTATTGAAAATTCATTAGGTTAATGTGTCTATAGGGTATAAAATTTGAGGAGAACAAGTCTTTGAGCTCTTACTCGAGTCCTCGTGAGCACTGTGACAGCCACTGTAGTCAGGCTATGACTTTCAGGCTCCTGGAAAACAATGTCTGTAGCAAAAACTCTTTTTTATCAACCAGAGTGTCTTGCCTGTTAATATGTACTAGTTGAATAAGTAAGCGTACCTCCATATCTTTCGGTAAAAAGGAAGAAGCTCATATACTGGAAAAAATAGGAGAAGAGAAGACAAAAGACTGTGAATTTTAGTTCCACTCTCATATCCACCTGACAGCCAAATCAGACCATTAATGTAACTCTCTGTACCCATTTTTCCAACCCTAAAATGAGGAGGCTGGGCCAGCCAATCTTAAATGACTGTTCAGTTCTGTAAAGGAGAATTACTGTGTATTCCTGCAGACTGCTGGAAAAAGGAAACCTGTGAATAAAAAGGGTGGTGGTGGCACTTCCAAACGAGTGGTAGTGTGATGAGGGGGAATCGAAGGAATGTAAGTGAGAATACAGAAGAAAAGAAGGAAATAATGGAAAATGGAATGCCTTGTGAGCATAGAGAGATACCCCAGAGACCTTCAAGACCTGCCACAACCTCCACCTCTTCCCACAACCACAGATCATTGCCAACTGATCACATACACTGAGCTAAGAGCACCTGCTTGTGCTGAGTCAGGAAGGGAATAGGAAGAACTTCCTAAACTTAGGTTTAGGAAGGATCCAGCCCAACACTGTGAAGCAATGCAGTAACAGACAGAACAAGTCCCCTAGGGGAGTTGGGGGAAGGAGGCTGTCCTTAGGCTCTGGGCCAGCAGAGGCTAGTGGAGCTTGAGCAGTTTGGCCCCAGAAGCAGCAAATCTGACTGTAAGGAATCCAGGCCACATGGCAAGAAGGCAACAGGAACCTGAGTGTGCACCAGAAAGGAAAGATGCAGTGTAAATCCTAACACAGTGGGAAATGAAAGATACGTGGGACCTGATCAGAGAAGAAACTGGGAGTAAGAAATGAAAGACTGATGGTTGGAGAAACAGATGCAGATAAGCACACATGCTCTGATGTTTCATCAGACATTTTTAGCTGGAAAGTCTTGGAAAGATAAACCCATACAGGGTTTTCCAAACTCAAAAAAAACTTTTAAACATAGTAGAACCCTTTGTTTTAAGGCAGATAAAATAGGAAGTGGGGATTGAAGATTCTTGCCCTCTGGTATTCAGGAGGTGGATTTAATGGATAATAACCAACTCGTGTATATAAATAAAAGGCTAAGAAAAAGAGCAAAGCATTTGTAGGTGGAAATTTATGATCTTAGGGTATGCAGAATTATAGTTTGTATCAGTGTACCATAGTAACTCTCCTTTTTAGTTTCAAATACATTGTGCAGTTTTTATTTTATCATTAATTTGGAAGAGAACCTAGAACTCCCTAAGTTTTTCAGATGCTTTGAGAACAACCTGATTTGAACTGTTATTAAGATACTTTCCTCACTGTTCTTTATGAAGCCCTAATGCCACTATCATATTTTGCTTCAGCAAAATGCCTGTTGCATGTTTATAACTGATCTCAAAGAACATAAAATAGTTGCAGCCACAGGAACAAAGTATTTTTCTTTAACCTCTAATTATTTAATAAATCTTTTCTTTTTTTAAACAAAGTAAATTTTTATTTTGTTTATTTCATAATCCACCCCCACATCTCTTATTAAAGACAGCCTCTCTGGGGATCTGTAAATTGACCTGTTTACATACTCTTGAAGTCAAAAATTAAATTAATCTCTGAGGTCAAAGGAGTATAAGAACAGAGAGATTAAATTGTATTTTCTTATTGCCTTTTTTCTTATCTTTTCTTGGCTTATTTTATCATTTGTACTGGCCTTATAAAACTTTGTTTAGATCAATATTGCCTTCTGTCATGTTAATTGCATCATGATAGAGGGGGAAATCCCTGCTTAACTAAAAATGGTGCAATAATACCTTTTAAGATATTTTGAGGGAAACAAGTCAATTTTGGTTATTGTCTGTTCATTTTTTGTGTGTTAAAGCTCAGGGCAATTTTATGTTCAGACAGAGAACTAAGGAAACAGCTTTCTTACATGATTCTTTATAGGTGTGTTTCTAATTGCAGTACATCACTGTGTAATTTAGAAAATGTTCTCATACTTATCTGTGATGGACCACAAATCAGTGACTTTGTAAGGCTTTAATAGCATACTGAATCAGTGCTTTTTATGCCTTGCTTTTAAGAAAAAGTCATTTTATGAGTGAATCACTTTCATCAATTAATAGTGTAATGATGATGCAGACATCTCTGTGTAGTTATTAGTGCCAGAGCAAACTCGGTTCCTATGTGCTGATCATCAATGTCTACAGTATATTTTTATTCATAGAAAATGGAATTCATTTTAAGTTGATGATCTAGCAAATGTTACACTCCATTGCTGGGAGTAGTAGAATATTATGTAGATATACAGATAAGAAGTAAGATTGATTTCTTTTAAGATAAAACTTTTCAGGGAAAACACTATCTAATATTACGTTACTTTCATAATAAAGTAACTGGATTTTCATGATAGCTTAACATACCAAGGTTTTGTTCCCTAAATTGATGGAAGACAAAGTGAAAACCCATCAATCTTATTTTATTTAAAAGCTTATATAACATTTTATAGAATTCAACTTTTGATATGTTATTTGTGAAATTGTTTTCTAAGATAAGCTGAATTTTTTGGGAACATCAGCTTTAACTTTCCACTTCACTATTCCTTTTTGTTGTAAAGACTGAAAAATAAGGTACTAGTTGTAATTACATCCACCATAAAATCAAACTTTGTTTATGTTTAGATTGAATATGAGACTCAAATTAAGAAGATGCAACTACTCTCAAAAGACAGCCGGGGAATAAAACATGAACAGAAAGATGAAGACAGAAAAAAGGTAAAAAATGAAAATGATAAACTTTTGTTAACCAAGGATTGCTGAAGTGTTCACCTTTTAAGATATTGTTTTAAACAAATTCATTACAAAGATGTTTTTTACTAAACTTTAAGTGATTATTTAAACACTTTTGGATATAGAGTATTGCATTAGTGTCTAATTCAGTTAAATTTGCTGAAAGGTAGTCACTGTCAGTTTAAAAGAGAAAGGTTTCAAAGAAATCCTCAGTGTTATTCATAGGTAGAATTGTATTTTCCTAAATAATGCTTTGTAGCTGCTTTTTCTTAGTTCCAGAAATGTTTTAAACGAGACAAAATGTGGCATTTTGCTTCTTTTCTTTGTACATATAATTTTGTACATTTTAACCTTTTCACAGAGAGAGTGGAAAGAAAAGATTGCATATCTAAGCAACAGACAAAAAGACCAGGGAGGAATACTTAAATAAATTCTGCTATGTATCTGCCATAATGCAGGCTTCTAATCCTCCTGCCTATCTCCATATAAATGATTCTGTTCAAGACCATAGATGTTTTCTTCACTAAAAGCAGTAAAGCTCTTTTAGATGAAATGTCTAAAAACATCTTGTAATAACTTGGAGCATGCTGGCAAGAGTAGTCACTTGTGACTATGTGTGAAACCCCCTCAGCCAGTAGATATTGTAATAAGTAAAAATGGTAGCATCACTCCTTTATTCAGAAAAGCCAACAGCATGCTTGCTCCTTAGGCTGCAGCATTCATTAAGAAAAGCTTACTAGGCTGAAAGCTGGAAACAGATGATAACAGGATATGATTTTCATATTTAATGCTTTCCTTGGAAGAGTATGTGTGCTACAGATTGATAGAAGAATCAACTGCTACTTTACTAAAAGACTTTCAGGTTTGCCCTATAGCTACCGATGGAATCATTCAGCCAAGAAATTAACTTTTTCTCCTTTTACCTGCTTTATGTATCTGCTAAGCAAGCTGCCTGGCTGCCAGTAAATGTTATTATGCAGTTAACTGTTTGGTATTTAAGACTCTTATCAGAAAAGAAACAGAGGCCATGCTATTTTGTTTTTATAGTAGGAGGAAGGTTTTAGTTTCCCTTTTTTCCGTGCATTAGCCGGCATTAATCTGAGTTTATAGGAAGTTTCAGTTTTCCTCCCAAAGATTAAAAAGTTAAAAAAACTAGAATTTAGAGCATTCTTTAAACTGTAAAATACAAAACACCAAACCCCAGCAACCTTGACCTATATAAAAAAGCCTTTAATGAGAAATGATTTCTGTGTCATTAGGTGTACACCAAATGTGGTACGATGTGATAGACTTCTAAACCATGAAGGCAGTTTTTCTGTTTGACCTTTTATCATGAAATAATTGACATGTTTTTAATCTATAAACCAGTTTGTTCTTTCTATACCGTTGCTGATAGACACATCTTAGCAGGGCAGTGTCAGTGGTACTTAAGTAAAATGGGACTTTTTTTCTGTTTGTAACTGCTGATTCCTACCTTATGTAGAGTCATGTAGTCTCATTTTAAGTTATATTTAAAATTAGGACAGGAGACATACAGCTGACAACCCCTTAAACCTGTTACATGTAATAATTAGAAATGTTTTCTTTTGTGCTAAAAAGTGTCATTCCTTGAAAGCTTTGACTACTGACTGTACATAAGTCTAACATTTTAAGAAATTTACATCTTGCCTTTTTCAAGTCCCCATTTATGTTCCATCAGTTAAAAGGTAAATACATTTCAGTAAAATCATGAATAAGTTAATCCTTATTAAATACTAATTCCAGAAATTCCTTGTCATATGAATCACATTTTATTTTTTGGTGCAAATTCGTGTCCCTCTTCTTTAAGCAGTCCTGTGAATTAGTCTCTGCCTAGAGCCACCAGTCTCCAGGGACTGGCCTGAAGCACAGTGCAGTGGCACTGGTTGAAGCCAGTAAATAGTTGTTGAGCTGCTGTTCTGTTTGAGAACCCACAGCAGGTCCCCAGTGAATTCCACAATACTTGCCCTCACAGTGCTTCCAACAAACTGATGTTCTTCCTAAGGCACAGGATAGTCTGAGACAGGTGCAGGACCTGGGGCAGGTGTGAGCCACTTAGGGAAGAGGACATGCTTCCTCAGAGGTAAGCAGCACTTGGGAGGAGGTGGTATCTGATCTGGCCTGAAGGACAGGGAGGAGGTCAGTCAGTGGGGATTTGCTCAACACTCTAGGGTTAGCAGAGGCTGCGAGGAAAGGAGCAGAAGCAAAAAATCCCAGTGGTAGTTGTCCAGTGTGGCATATTGGAAAGTGTACCCAAGAGAAATGGAGATGGTATTTATGGATGAGGATAAATTCTGGGGTGGCAGTTGTGAAGTTTCTTTGAACTGTTATGCTGTGGCATATACTACTAAATGCAGAAGTGAACTGGATACTTCCAGCAGGATTATAACTGGGCTGGAAGATCTGTGGAACTGCTGGAAGTGCCAGGGCTGGAGGACTGGGAAGAGCAGGGCATTTCATCACAGGGCTAATGGCCAGCCGGGGAGGCTGACCTCCTCAGTTGTAAACCTTCCTGCAAGGGTCACATGGAGTATGGTCATGCAGGTTGTTGTTCTACTTTTAATACTAATAGTAACAATGCGTAATGATCATTGCACACTTACTCTGTGCTGGGGGCTGCTTTAGGCACTTTATACTTCCCAACTTGATCTTCTTAACAATCCTGGAAATAGACACGGTTGTTAGCCTCATTTTATAGGAAGGCTTATTTCATAGAGATGTTAATTAACTTTCCCAAGACTGCACAGCAAGGCAGAGCCAAATTCAAACCCAGATCATTTGGTTTCTGTGTCCATGCTAATTAACCATCTCAGTACATTGCCTTCTAAGTATGGGTGAAATGCTCTTCAAAAGTTGGGAGAAATTCCTGGCCAAATAAAAAAGCCTAGCCACATAATGCAAATTATTTCAGTTATTCATTTAGATGCTGCATTTTTACCTAACCTTTGGAGAGAGTGAAATGGTCTCCCATGGTGCTATAATCCAACTGAATCAGGTGAGCCATGGAAAGCAGAATGCCTGCCCATAAATTGCTCACATTTCCAGTAAAAGGAGCATTCATTTGAGCTGGCTTTCTTGGGCAGAGGAAATACCTTAAAAGCTTGACTAAAGAAGAATTTCAAGCAAGGAAACAGATGTGCAATTTGGGAGGTGGTCCCAGGAAGCCCAACTAGAGGAGAGAAGAAACTGACATGGCCAGAAAAGAATATGTGACTGAGTAGGTTACAACTGTGAGCAGGTGGAGCTCAGTCCCATGAGGAACCTTGGAAGTCTGTAGAAAGAACACACCTTAGCCTTATCACCCCTGGGGTAGGAAGGGGAGGTGTTTAGCTTTTAACTCCCCATCTGTCACTGGCTGAGAGTTGTGCCTGGCTCTACTTCTGGCTGCTGCACAGCAGGCGGGGAGCGCTCAGGCCTGGAGGCACAGGTGCTTGCCTGAGGACACTGTGGGCATGCACTGGGATGATGAGGGCCCCAGGGATATGGGCCTGGTCCTGTCATACCTAATACAGGAGAGAACACTGCGGGTGGCAGTAAGGTGGGTTTTATAATTATCAGTATAAGCCCCAATTCTTATCTTTAGTAGCCCACAGTGCTTCCTTCACCAACAATCTCCTTGAACCACTGCTCAATTATAGATAGTGCAGGACTCTCCCTATCATGGGGATCTGAGCAGTTGCCCAGGTTTCTGATATCAAGCTGTTGTACCCTGATTGGGATAGCAACCCCTTCAGCTCTGCCATCCTCAAAGTGGTGACTTTATTTGACCCAGAGCAATGACAAGTCAAAAGGTAGTGTTTGTGTTCAGCTGGACCTCTTTTATCTTAACAGCTTTTTTATTTGTTTGTGTTTCTATTTAGAAAACAATTAGGAATTAAACTGAATGAACACAGTTTTTCAAGTCTTGGCCCTAAAAGAAGATCTGCAGACCTTTTTTGCAGGAGAGGGTAGAAAATGTTCTTCTCTCCAGGCTTACTGGACCATGAGCTCATGCAGGGCAGGGTCTAGGCCCCTTCCCCTACTCTACCTGGTGAGTGAGAGTGGCCTGCCAACCTGCAAAGAGGAAGAGGAGAGAGCTTTGAGCGAGGTGTGCGACCCATTTCACACTGTGTTAGGGGGTAGATATTTGAACTCTCCACATCCTGCTTCCTTTTGAGGATGCTTTCCAAGTGGGTAATGTGGCTCAGATTAAGAGCTAATGCTTATATTGGTCTTAACTCTGTCTCAAGTAATGTCCTAAGGACTTTATGGGTATGTGATATAGATAAACATAGATAAATATACACACATACACACACTCATCACAACAATCTTATAAGGTAAGATCTATTTTTATACTCATTTTACAGATAAGGAAGTGGAGGCTCAAAGATGTTAAGTAACTTGTCTGCATGTCACACAACTGGTCAATGGCAGAGCTATGATTCAAATCCCAGCAGACTTCTCCTGAGCCTTAATTAACAAACTCACCAGCTCACTTCTCAGTTACTGGAAGAAATGTTTTACTTAGGAAAATGTGGGAGGAAGCATTTCTTTAAGGGACTTAGCCTCTCTTTCATAGTCAAGAATGAAAATAACAGTATTTTTTTAATTTATCTTTTGTGGAGACATTTGGCTACACAGTTACTGTTCCTTTGCTGCTCTCTATGGTGGAATTATGTGACAAGGTGTCAAAGACTCTTACAAGTGAGAAAACTGCATTCACATACACAGGTACATATCTTTTAGTGGAGTGATAGAGAAGAGAGAAAAAGTAAAGGAGAAGGCAAAAGGAAACAAGTCAATTTAGGAAGAGGAAGATCAAGTTTGTGAGAAAAACTTTCTTTTCCCTTTCTGATACTACAAATGATCACAGAAACCTCCATAGGAGAACAAATATTGATTTGTCGTTCTGTAGAAGATTTTCCAAACTTCATATACTTATATTCTATGAGATACTGTCTTATTAGAAAAAGACAATCTTCATGTAGTCTGAAAAAAATGTGTTAGTACCTAGACTTTTTTGGAAGGTAATCTGACAATAACTATCACAATTAAATATGTATATATGCCTTGTCTCAGCAGTCCAGCTTTTGGTAATCTATCCTCCATAAATGGGCGCTCTAGTTAATTTAATGTTAATACAGTAAAAAAAAAAGTGTGTGAGGAAGGAATAGGCAGATGGTTAACCCATTTTAGGAAGCAGGAGCTGGCCTGTAGGTGAGATTGCTTTTTTTAATTGTGTAGAGCATGAGTTGCTTCTGTCCTTATGTACATCTCTCAGAATTAAAAAATGGAGTTGGTATCTGTCTCTCTGACATAGTTCTGCAATTTCCTTTTGAACAGGGAACTCTAAAAGACACAGTTATATCCTGAGTCACCCTGTTTGGGAATCACAGAGCATATACAGGACATACTAAATTGTATTATAAAAGAAAGGGCTGTTGTCTTGATATTCTCAGACACTTGTTATGCTTCTGTTCTTTACATGAAAACCATGACTTAACTTTCTATTGTTTTAATCAAAGCAGCTGCTTAGGCCTTGGGGTATCAGGGAACAGGTTGATGCTGGCAGGGGTAGGGGGAGTTTATTTTCTGAAAATCACCTATTGTTACAGTTTAGGAATATGAATTTCCCTTGAAGCTTCTACCTGCTTTTCTCCCACTCTTCCCTTTTACCCTACATGGACTCAGATTTATTTATCAGATACAAGGTCCATTTAGAATCTCTTTTAGTATATGTGATTTTGTAATGGTTGAATTTAATAAGAAATTAGACTTTAGATTCATAATTATTAGGGATTTTTGTTTGTTTTTTCAAAACTGTGGTTCAGTACACAGTTTGAGTTAAAGTGAATCAGTTTTGAGTATTTAGCATAAGAGATGGACACTGGATGAGTCCTCGTATCTGGATTTAAATCCTGTGACCAAGAGCAAATTGTTCAACTTCGCTAAGTCCTGTTAAGAGTGGGGATAATAATAATGGGTGTTTTTTGAGGATTAAAAAGGTAACAAATACAAATCTGCTTGACACTTGGTGAGTGCTTGACAAATGTTCACTGATCTGTTGCCACTCACTGCTGGCACTGCCATCACCATCATGTTCTCCACTGAGTGGTCCTTCTTGGTCCTGGCTGTTTGCCACATGTCTGGGATAGTAGAGAGGCTGGCTGTGGGGATAGAGAGGCTGGCTGTGAATTAAAGAAATGGAATGTAAAGCCACCTGGTGGTAACAACTCATAACAGATTGATGTTATAGTTATTTACTCTACAAAATGACTTACCGAATATGCCTTTGAACCCTAAATTTAATAGGTCAATTTTAAAGTTTAGATAGTTCCAACAACTATTGAATTTACTGTCTGAAGAGATGTCTTTGCAGCCTGAGTGTGAAAATTTGGTTTTGTCTGTAATCTATCACAGTGGCAAAATGAAAGAGGAGTTAAAAATCACATTGACACAATGTCTTAGTCAGCTTGGCTGCCCTAAGAAAGTACCACAGACCGGGGAGCTTGAACAATAGAAGTTTATTTTTTCACAGACTGGAAGTTGAAGGTCAGGGTGCCAGCCAGGCTGGTTTCTGCTGTGGCCTTTCCCCTTGGGTTGCAGGCAGCTGCCCTCTCTCTGAGTCTTCATATGGTCTCTTTCTGTGCATGTGCATGGAGATTGATCTCTGTTGTCTCTTCCTCTTCTAAGGACACCAGTCCTATTGGATTAAGGCTCCATCCTAACGAACCCACCTAACCTTAATTACCTCCTTAAAGGCCTTATCTCCAAACAGAGTCACATGGGGCACCAGGTCTTCAACATAGGAACTTGGGGGTACCCAATTCATTTATAATATATTGTATAATATAATAATTCCTAAGGGATTGTTATATGTAGATTTTTATTAAGGGGTTTTCTGAAACCTCAGTATGACTTAAAGATTTGAGTACATGGAAACTAAGAATAATACCTGTACTGTGTGAAAAGCTGGAAATTTGGTCTGAAGCTCCATATGCATTCTGCATTCACCTTCATACTTCCCAATTCCCTTGTCTGTGAAAAAAAAATATGTTCAGAAAAAATAAAGATTTCCTCATCATTTTGCAGAACCTGAAGTATAACATAAATATTTATTTTCAAAGTACAAAAATAGTCAAGATCTACCTGTTTTTAAAACTAGTTAGTAATTAAGTAAGACATCATTACTGTGATTTGAAATTTAACTGATACCTCCTTATGTATGTCCCCTCCTCTTTTCCCCATTAAAGATGAACTGATTTTAATAGTTTCCTTTTGTTCACTGACAAGTAGTATTTTCAGTCATATTCATTTGCTTTGCTATAACTTTCTCCAACTCCTAGTGTTTTTTAAGAGACTACAGATGGATAACTGTGACAGGAAAAGGAAGAACTGAACTAAAGTCTTGGATTATAGATTTACCTCAAGCACTGAGTTACAGAAAGTAATTGGAAAGCATAGAAAAATTGATCATTATGTCAGATCCTTAAATACTGATACACGTTCCTTTTTATGGCAATAATGTCTATCTCTCAAAAAACTTTTCAATTCCTAATTTATTCCAGTATCCTAATTTATTCCAGTAAACACAGTATTCTTTCTTCAGCTTCCCTGGCTCAGAAACTGCTTTGAGAAGACACATAAAAATGTTCAGAATTTTCAGATTAAAAATTACCCTATTTCTTGTTACTAAGTGAACAAACTGACAGACTATTTTAAAAAAAGAAAAGAGACACCTGTCTCAGTGCCTGATCTCAGCAAATGGGAAATCTGCCAACCTTTAGAAGCCCAGCCTGTATTTTACTGGAGCCAGTATTTTACTTTGCAAATGTTGAACCAGTTCAAATGTAGCATTGCCTTATAGGAAGCAGCACTTAATTTTTGCAGGTTTCTTGCATATTTTTGTTATAAAGTTTAAATAATTGCTAGTGGGAATGTAAAATGATGCAGCTACTATTTCAGTTTGGCAGTTCCTCAGAATATTAGACATGGTTACCGTATGACCCAACAACTCCATGTTCAAGAAAGGTGAAAACATATGTCCATATAAAGATCTTGGACACAAATGTTCATAGTAAGAGTATTTATAATAGGCAAAAAGTAGAAACAACTCAAATGTCCATCATTTGATGAATGGATAAATGAAAGGTTGTATATCCAGCCAATGGAATAGTATTCAGCCATTAAACAAAAAGAAGTACTTATACCTGCCATAACACTTAATAAACCTTGGTATGCCAAGTGGAAGAAGCAATTTAAAAAAATGTATAATTCCATTTATATGAAATGCCCAGAATATGCAAATATTTAGAGAAAGAAAGTAAGTGGTTGCTTTTTACAACTGATTTATTACAGGCCACTGAAAATGTAATGTTCTCATTAATTAGTTTATTACTAGAATTTGTTCCAAGACTCAGAGGTCCAAATTCTAAGAAGTCTGGAATGCTTGGCAAAATTGGCACTTAATAACTATTTGCTAGCACAAGAATTGTAACCTATTTTCAGGAAGTATCCTTTGTTAACAAGCTGTCTTGAATTGATTATTGTTTTTACTTACTGCAGTTCTGAAATCATTTACTACAAGTTAAATCATGGTTACATGCAACTTTTTTTTATTGTGCAAGTTACCATTTAGCTACTGTTGTTCCTCTCTAGTTCTTGGCTCTCTGGGTTCTTTGTCAGTGAGAATGGCCTTGGAGTCTTTGGCCTCTCTTGGAGATGATAGGAGTTAGAGAATTACTGGTTGAAACAAGTAACTCAGGGACACTTCCTTGGGCCTTCTCCAGGTGGCTTTCTCATCTCTAATGCCTACTCCTTTGCTTTTGTCTTGGCCTTTAGCAGATCAACAAAGTGGGAAGTGCTTCGGTGTGCTCCCTGTGCTTCCTGTGCTGGGTTAGTATTTGCTCTGGTATTGGTTCATTAACATGCCCTAAATAGGTCTTGAAAGTGACAAATCAAAGGCCTCCCAAACTCACAAGTCTGATACACTGATTTGCCTCAAATAGTTCACTAAATGACTACTATTACTCTGAGTGCTCAGCATATGGCCACAGTTGACATTCTCCCCAGAAGCACATCAACTTGGTGCCATGTATTTAAACAACATTTTTTTCAGAATAAGAAGAACTAAAGTAGAGTAGAAGACACATTATATTACATATACTATTCATATCAATGAGCCAGAATGTTGATTAATATAATTTTGCTATTTAAACTATATGGTATAATGGAAAACTCTTAGTAATTTTTATATGAAATGCCCAGAATATGCAAATATTTAGAGAAAGAAAGTAAGTGGTTGCTTTTTACAACTGATTTATTACAGGCCACTGAAAATGTAATGTTCTCATTAATTAGTTTATTACTAGAATTTGTTCCAAGACTCAGAGGTCCAAATTCTAAGAAGTCTGGAATGCTTGGCAAAATTGGCACTTAATAACTATTTGCTAGCACAAGAATTGTAACCTATTTTCAGGAAGTATCCTTTGTTAACAAGCTGTCTTGAATTGATTATTGTTTTTACTTACTGCAGTTCTGAAATCATTTACTACAAGTTAAATCATGGTTACATGCAACTTTTTTTTATTGTGCAAGTTACCATTTAGCTACTGTTGTTTCTCTCTAGTTCTTGGCTCTCTGGGTTCTTTGTCAGTGAGAATGGCCTTGGAGTCTTTGGCCTCTCTTGGAGATGATAGGAGTTAGAGAATTACTGGTTGAAACAAGTAACTCAGGGACACTTCCTTGGGCCTTCTCCAGGTGGCTTTCTCATCTCTAATGCCTACTCCTTTGCTTTTGTCTTGGCCTTTAGCAGATCAACAAAGTGGGAAGTGCTTCGGTGTGCTCCCTGTGCTTCCTGTGCTGGGTTAGTATTTGCTCTGGTATTGGTTCATTAACATGCCCTAAATAGGTCTTGAAAGTGACAAATCAAAGGCCTCCCAAACTCACAAGTCTGATACACTGATTTGCCTCAAATAGTTCACTAAATGACTACTATTACTCTGAGTGCTCAGCATATGGCCACAGTTGACATTCTCCCCAGAAGCACATCAACTTGGTGCCATGTATTTAAACAACATTTTTTTCAGAATAAGAAGAACTAAAGTAGAGTAGAAGACACATTATATTACATATACTATTCATATCAATGAGCCAGAATGTTGATTAATATAATTTTGCTATTTAAACTATATGGTATAATGGAAAACTCTTAGTAATGATATAATGGCCTCTTGTTGGTTAAATGGTAATTTTCTACAAGGCACTCTTGACCCAACAATTTCAGTTCTAGGAAGCTGCCCTACTAATACACTTACATGTGTGCAGAGAGACATACGTTCAAGAAGAATCACTGCACTGTGGTTTGGAATGGTAAATGGTGGGAAACAAACCAAGGTCTATCAAAAGAGTGCTTAAATAAATTATGGTACATCTATAGAAGATAATACATGCTGTTAAAATTACAGTGTAGTCTGAATTCCAGTCCAACATGTAAGAAGCTTGGAAGTCATCACTGCATCCTAACAAGTAAAAAGCTGAATAACCCAAAAAATCAACTCTTCTTAGCATCTCAGAGAAGTTAGGTCACAGAATAATCTACTGCCCCTACAACTGGGAGACCCAACAGGTGAATACAGAGAATCACAGCTTACCAGACCAGAGCTGAAACCTCTACAGTAACCAACACCAGGGTGTAGAAACCTGAACCGTAACGGACAACTTGCTGGAGGCTCAGTGTGGACAGATCTAGGAGGTAAAAACTCCAGAGAGATTCAGTCATGTGGAGGTTTGAGGGTGCCTCTTTGGTTTTTCATCTTTAGGAGCTCCACCAGGGCCTCAGAGTGAATATCGGACAAAAATACCCTGTAATTCAGGTAGGGGAAAGGGAGGGAGAAAGAACCATTTTGAAATACACCAGAGCATCCTGTTCTTAACAAGATCTGCTCTCAAGAGAAACTGTTTAACCAGACTTACAGATATGCAGGAAGGGAAATATGCAACTCCAGAAGGCTCTAGTCTTCTTTGTGGAGGAAGGAAAAACAATTACAGCCCCTTCTATCCTTGAACCTAAAAGTACTCTAAAAAAATAATGTCTTTAAAAAATGTTAATTGACTCTAGATGCATGGATATTTCTGTACTCTCATTTCTATTCCATTGACCTATATGTCTACCCTTATGTCAGTACAGTCTAGAATTCATCCTAGTTTTGTAGTAAGTTTTAAATTGGAAAGTGTGAGTCCTCCAACTTTGTTCTCCTTTGGAGAATTGTTTTGGTCATTCTGTGTCCCCTGTATTTCCATATGAATTTTAGTATCAGCCTGCCAATTTTTACACAGATGCCAGCTGATTTTGATAGAGATTGCATTGAATATGTAGATCAATTTGGGAGTATTGTCATCTTAACAATTTTAAGTCTTATGTTCCTTGAATACACAGTGTCTTTGCATTTATTTAGATCTTCTTCAATCTCATCAATGTTTTGTAGTTTTTAAAAACGTGTACAAGTCTTGTACTTCTTTGTTAAATTTATTTAGTTTTTTCTGATGACACTGTAAATGGAATTGTCTTCTGAGTTTAATTTCAGATTGTTTATTGCTATAAGTAGAAATACATTATTTCTATTTATATATTGATCTTGTACCCTGCAACCTTGCTGAACTTGTTTATTAGCTTTAGTTATTTCTTGTGGATTCCTTAAGTTTTTCTTTATACAAGAGCATGACATCTACAAATAGGTATAGTTTTACTTCTTTCTTTGTAATATAGATACCTTTCATTTCTTTTTCTTGCCTCACGGCCCTGGCTGGAACCTGCAGTATGGTATTAAGTAGAAATGGTGAGAGCAGATGTGCTAATCCTGATCTTAGGGGGAAAGCTTCAATCTTTCACCACTGATTATGATATTAGTTATGGGTTTTTTGTAAGTGCACTTCATCAGGTTAAATGAGTTCCCTTCCATTCCTCATTTGTTGATATTTTTGTTTTTTTGTCATGGATATATGTTCGATTTTGTTAAATGCATTTTCTATGTCTATTGAGGTACTCATTTGAAGTTTTTTGTTCTTTATTTTGTTAATATGGTATATTACATTTACCAGCCAACTACCAACTTTAGATATATATTACATATATCAAATTAACTTTGCATTCTTTGGATAAATCTTACTTGGTCATGGTGTATAATTCTTTTTGTATGTTGCTGAATTCAGTTTGCTTATATTTTGTTGAGAATTTTTACATTTACATTCATAAGAAATATTAGTCTATAGTTTTCTTGTGACCTCTTTGTCAGGTTTTGGAGACAGGGCCTGTCCTCATTGAATGAGTTGAGAAGTATTTCTTCCTCACCTATTTTTGGAAGAGTTTATGAGAGATTGGTTTTAATTCTTCCTTCAGCATGTGGTGGAATTCACCTTCTCATCCTGGACTTCTTTTGTGGGAAGTTTTTTGATAACTAATTCAGTTGTTTAACTTGTTAATAAGTGTATTCAGATTTTCTGTTTCTTCTTGAGTCACTTTTGGCAGTGTGTGTCTTCCTAAGAATTTGTTCCAGTTCATCTAGGTTATCTAATTTGTTGGCTTACAAGTATTCATGATATTTTCTCATAATCTTTTTTTGTATCTGTAAGGTTGGTAACAAAGTACTCACTTTCATTTCTGATTTTAGTAATCTAAGTCTTTTCTCTTTTTTATGTGGTCAGTCTAGCTAAAGGCATGTCAACCTACTGAACTTTTTGAAGAATCAACTTTTGGTTTTGTTGATTGTCTCTATTGCTTTTCTATTTCCTAATTCATTTATTTCTACTCTGATATTTTTATTATTTCCTTCCTTATGCTTGCTTGAGGTTTAATTTGCTTTTTTTCTAATTTCTATACATGGAAGTGTAGTTTATTGATTTGAGTTCTTTCTTCTTTAACATAGGCTTTTACAGCTCTGAATTGCCCTCTAAGCACTGCTTTTTTAGGTTTTAGTATGGTATTTTCATTCATTTAAACTATTTTCTAATTTCCTTTATGATTTCTCCTTTGACCCATTAGTTATTTAGGAGAGTTTTAAAATACCTAAAAATTTGTTATTTTGCCAGACTTCCTTCATTTATTGATTTCTAATTTCTCTCCATTATCAACAGAGAACATACTTTCAATTAAATTTATTGAAGTTTACTTGTAGCCCAAAATATGGGTCTATCCTGCAGAATGTTCAATGTGCATTTGAGAAAAATATACATTCTGCTGTTGGTGGGTGGAGTCTTCTGTATGTGTCTATTATGTCTAGTTGGTTTTAGTTGGTTTATAGTTATCAAGTCTTCTATTTCCCTGTAGATCTTCTGTCTACTGGTTTTATCCATTATTGAATGTGGAATATTGAAGTCTCCAACTATTGTCAAGTTGTCTGTTTTTCCCTTAATTCTCTCAGTTTTTAATTCATGTATTTTAAGACCTTGTTGTTAGGTATACATACATGTTTCTAGTTATATCTTTTTCATACCGACCCTCTTACCATTAAAAAATGTCCTTCATCTCTACTAACAACTGTGTCTTAAAGTCTGTTTTTTCCGATAGTATAGCCACTCCAGCTTTCTTTTGGTTACTCTTTGTCTAGAATGTTTTTTCCATGCAGCTCCATTTATATATATTTTTCCTTCCCTGTGCTTTCAATCTTTTTTTTGTCTTTTGAGTCTAAAATGAGTCCCTTTAGATAGCATATAGTTGGATTTTTTAAATCCGTTCTGCCAGTCTCTGACTTTAATTGTAGTATTTAACCCATCTAAATTTAACTCACTTACTGAAAAGTTAGGATTTGCCTCAGCCATTTTGCTCTTTGTTATCTATGTGTTATATCTTGTTTTGTTCTTTTAATCCTTCATACTGCCTTCTTTGCATTGAATATATATTTCTTAGTGTGCCATTTTAATTCCCTGTCATTTCTTTTACCGCAGGTGTTCTGGTGTTACAGTTAACATCTTAGCTTATAATAATGTAGTTGAGATTAATACCAACTTAATTTCAATAGTGTGCAAAAACTTTGCTTCTGTATAGCCCCATTCCTTTCCTGTTCCTTTTGATGTTATTGTAATACAACTATGTCTTTATATCTTTTTTTCTTCCTTTTATATGGAATGCTTCACGAATTTGCATGTCATCCTTGCACAGGGGCCATGCCAATCTTCTCTGTATTGTTCCAATTTTAGTATATGTGCTGCCGAAGGAAGCACCTATGTCTTTATATCTTATATTCTGCTTAGTAACATAGGTTTATAATTACTGCTTGATGTAGTTGTCTTCTAAATCATATAGGAGGAAAAAAAAGAGTTACAAACAAAAAATATATTTACACTATCTTTTATATTTGCCAATGTAGTTACCCTTATTAATGCTATTTTTAAGTGTGGATTTGAGATATAGTATAGTATCCTTTCATTTCAGTCTGAAAGACTCCCTGGAGTGTATATTATAGGGCAGGCATTGTAGTGACAAATTCTTTCTGCTTTTGTTTAGTGAAGAATACTTTAATTTCTCCTTCATTTTTGAGGAAAGTTTTGGTGGATATGGAATCCTTAATTGACATGTTTTTCCTTTCAGTACTTTGATTATCTTACTGCCTACTAGAATGCATGCTTTCTGATGAGAAATCACCTGTTACTCTTCCTGAGGAACCCATGTATGTGAGGAGTCACTTCTCTATTTTTGCTTTTAAGATTCTTTCTCTTTTCACTTTCAGTAGATTGATTATTATATATCTAGGTGAGACTCTTTTTGAGTTTATCATACTTGGACTTTGTTGAGCTTCTTGGATGAGCAGATTGATGTTTTTCATCAAATTTGGGAAGTTGTTACCAATATGTTTTTTTTTAAGTATAGTT